GAGCAAAATCCCGAATTTAGAGGTTGGAAGTGAGGGTAGGAAATGGCAGCTGAAGCCAACAGCAGGATGATGAGGAATCAGCCAAGTGGAAGCGGGTGGAGGAGGCAGAGAGATCGTTCAGAGCAGAGAAAATGTGGAACTTCTTGAGGAACTTGACCCGGTAAGGCTGCTAGAGTACCAGGGGTAAAGGATGAAGCTAGATTATGCAGGACCTTCTGGGTCTTATGGAGGAGTTTGAGAACTGAGAACCCATTGGAAGATTTTATGCATAGGAATGTTACAGCCAAATTCATTTTTAAAAGATCACCGACCACAGGATGCAAAATGAATTGGAGGCAAGACTAAGTCTAAAATGGGAAGAACCTATTGAGAGGACTTCATGACAATTCTGGATGACAGTGGCCTGGAACACACCCGTGATCATTGGAACGGAAGGAAATGGAGAGTTTGAAGAGGGTAGAATGCAAGGCCTTGGTGTTACAACAGTGAGCTGGTAAAGTCAGGGTCTCGATAAAGGATTTTGAAGGCATCCCTATAAGGATGCCATTATCCTGGTAAGTTTTATCACTAGTATCCAGGAAGATTGCCATTTCATGATTTCCTATCTTTTCCTTTTAAGCCAGTCGTTAAAGAGACACCAGTTGAAGCTTTGAGAATTAGTTCATTTCCCTCCGCGTTCGTTAGTCCCCTAAAACCACTTCTTGGGCCCCAGAATCACTTTGCTCCTTTCCGCCCCACCTCTCTTCTGCTCACTGTGCTCCCGAAGGCCTGAACGGGCTCTATTCCCATAGCATCTTGCTCTCAACCAACTGCGAAACAACCTGATCAAGTAAACCTCCACTTCAGGGCGACTAGGAATGCCTTCTCAAGCGGTAATCCTCCTCTCAGCTGTTTGCATTTTAATGGAAGAGTAGTGCCTGAGGCCCAGTGGCCTTAAAAAATTAATCTCTGGTGATAAAATTCCTTTCACCCGTTCAGGAAGATGGAAAAATATTAAGAGAAAACTTAGAAGTATTTCCGCTGCCCTTTCGACCACATTAGTATTTGGTTGACTGTCCTGCCTGGGAAGTCAGTACAGGCTTGTAGAGAAACCAAACAAATGTGAACAAACCCTGGGTTCCCAGAAACCTTTGCTAAATCACAGTTTAGTAGGCCCGACCTCAGCCGAGGCCACTTACGTTTCTTAGGATTCCATTTTTGATCACTAGCAACACACAATGGCCATGCATTTAAGGTAGAAAGTGGAGCGCTTTCAAAATAATGGATTTTTCTGCTCTGAAATACAGTCTACACAGCAGCCACGTTTCAATTCATCATGGTCTTGTAGCAAGATTACTGATTATAAAGTCTTGAAATGAATAGCCAGGGATGGAGAAAGTGTTGGAATCGGTATTTCTCTAACGATTTGGGGATTATTGGCCATTCATTTTCAACTATTTGTAATTGGAGTCTTGAAATAATGGAATTTATCAGAGGAATGCCTCATTCACCCTTGTATAATTTGAACATACTAAAATGGCACATGTGGACTCATAAATCGTTTGTGTGCACAAAGGGGTAATATATCACTCCACCCCTCATTCACTCAGGGCTGGGGGAGGGAAGGCATGGAAGTATGAGTTATAGCTTACTAGACAGGATCCCATAACTTCACGTCTTACATCTCCAAGAGGCTTTTTTAATGTAGCCTTTATATTATTTATACTTGCTGGTCATTCATGATAAAAGGCACTTTTATCATGAGGTTTTTTATCAGTTTTTTTTATTATTTATTTATCAAAACACACGCAAATGTTTTTGACAAAGTCACTTTCAGGCAAACAGATCATTGCTCCGGGCTAAGAGCAGCGAGCGGCCCTGTTGTCTACACAGACTGCTGAAATTAGGCATATTATTTCTAATACCAGCCAGAAATGATAAACATGTTAAAATCAAATTAAATTGTTTTCTTTGTGGGGTAGTTTTATGTTTAAAGTGAACACACTGTGACTTTTTTATTAAAGCGATGACAAGAAATTCAGTTATTATTTTTAACCACTACAGAGTGCAGACATTGTGTTATAGAGACAAACATCTGCTTTATGGCATCAGTTCTCCAGAACTAACACCTTTTGCTGTTAGAATTATTTCTTACTCCAAGTCTTTGTTATGCTGATTGAAATCTCAATCTCTGGGGATTGGTACCGCACATATGTGAGCCTGGAACCTAGAATTTTCTGTGTTAAGGAATGTTTATAAAATATCGTAGATGCTGTATGGATATCAAATACTCATAAAAAATTATTTCTTTTTTTTTTTTTTCAACGTTTATTTATTTTTTGGGACAGAGGGACAGAGCATGAATGGGGGAGGGGCAGAGAGAGAGGGAGACACAGAATCAGAAACAGGCTCCAGGCTCTGAGCCATCAGCCCAGAGCCTGACGCGGGGCTCGAACTCACGGACCATGAGATCGTGACCTGGCTAAAGTCGGACGCTTAACTGACTGCGCCACCCAGGCGCCCCAAAAATTATTTCTTTTATATGGTTTACATTTGGGGTTTATTTCATGTGTTTAGATTTTCCATTTTATTCTCAAGATCTTCTAGATCCTTGTCACAAAGTTTTGTCCTTAGACCAGCAGTATCCGTGTATCTTGGAAGCTTCCTTAGGAATGCAGATTCTCAGGTTCTACCCCACGCAACCTACCCCATCACCCCCAGCTACAGAATGAGAAACTACATTTTTTACAAGATCTCCGAGTCGTACGTATGTACACTAATACTTGAAAAGCCCTACTCTACATGGTTGTTGGATGGGAGTATTTTGAAGGAGACATGAATCATGAATGAATCTGAACAGGTTACTTAAGAAGCAGAATAATGTGTTCTAGGCATCATATTAGCTTGATGTGTTTTACATGCATTATCTCCTATGGACAAAAGGAAAAGAGAAGAGTTTTTATTGAGGGTAGAGAAGTGACTTAGTCAATGTAGATATTCAGGAATATTCTACGTGGTTATTGTAGCCCAGAGAAAAGGGCTAAATCTAAAGTGGAAGTATTCAGGATAACAACAGATATAGTTTATATGTGTGAGGAGTATAGACTGGTACAGAGATGATGGATACAGGAATGTTTTCTGAATGATAAGAGACAATGTTACAGGAATGGATTCAGCCAGCCAGGGAAGAGCGATTTGGAAGTGACACAGCTAATATTCTGGAAGCACATAATGGTGTTTACTCACCTTCTCACTTTTGAACAAAAATTAAAAGACTGGGTTGCATATTTACTTTATGTGTGAACATACATGTAAATAATATAAGTGCGTGTTGCTTTTTGTGGATTCAAGTCTTTGCAGTGGATGATTCTTACAACCTTACCATTGGCATAGAAGTGTGTTACTTTCAGTGTATACTCATGAGTATTGACCTTTTTTCTTTAAGAATCATGGGCAGGGAATATAAATGGAGGAGAATATATTTAAGGATGAGAGAAACTAGTTTCTATTCTTGATTCTGACCCGGTACTCACCATGATAACTGATAAGCCAAACTGTAACCATCTAGCCTGTTAACAGTATTGGCATTACTGGTATGTTTCATAGAAACTTTTTAATGGCATGCAAAACTTACTCTTAAGTGAAGGGCCTTCTCAAATACGGGAGAGTTGATAATGCGTCTATTTGCTTTAGTTTTTTTAGGGACTCAGATCATCCTTATTCTAGTATTAACAATCTACAATTATAAGAGACAATAAACAATTCCCATTAATGTCATTAGAAGCCACTCCTATAATTCCACTGCTCTAGAAGTAAATAGAAAATGGCAAGTTACCTGGGTAGTAATATTATAGTCAACAGTTTGTATTAGTTATCTATTGCCTCATAACTAATTGTCCAAAAACTTAGCAGCTTAATGGAACAAACATTTACTATCCCACAGTGGGTCAGGAATCCGGCATGGTGCCTGTGACTCAAGGCTTGTCATGTGGTTGCAATCAAGCTGTTAGCTGGGGCTGCTATCTTATCTAAAGCGTCTATGTGTGGGATTTCATTCACAAGGTTATTATTGGCTAGCTTTGGTTCTTTATCACATGGGCCTTTCCATGGGCTGCTTTATGACATGGCAGCCGGCTTCCCACAGAGCAAGCCATGCAATGAGCTCAAGAGAGAGAAATAATACTCAGGATGGAAACCATGGTCTTTTTATAACCTAATCTTGAAAGTGACATTCCATTACTTCTGTCCATGAAACTGAATAGAAACTGACTGTTTCTATTCATTAAAAGCAAGCCAGTAAGTCCAGCCCATACTAAAGAAGGAGGATTACACACAAGGGTGAATATCAGGAGGTAGGTATCACTGCAGGCTGACCACAACTGGGTTTTTTGGGGGTTTTTTTGTGCTTCCATATTTTCTGACATGTCCATTGTGTACATGTATTTCTTATGTAATAAGGAAATAAAAATGTTAAAGGCAATAAAACTGAAGAGAAAATATTACTTTTTAAAGTTTTATTTATTTATTTATTTATTTGAGAGAGAGAGAGCGAGCATACAGGAGGAACAGAGAGAGAAAGAGAGAGGGAAAGAGAAAGAGAGAATCCCAAGCAGGCTCCTTGCTGTCAGCACAGAGCCCGACACGGGGCTCAAACTCTCAAACTGTGAGATCATGACCTGAGCCGAAACCTAGAGTCAGATGTTTAACTGACTGAGCCACTCAGGGACCCCAAGAGAAAATATTCTTTTATCAGAAATGTTGATGAGAAAAGTAACTCTTGTTTGGAGTTTTCTTAGTAAGACATTTAATTGACTGAAGACCGGATTTATTAGCTCAACTTCCTGGTCGCGTGTTAGATTGTGCCATGAATCCACGTCTGAGATCGTGAACCTAACGGGGTTTCATATAGCTTTCAAATTTTTACACCGAAAAATTGAAATAGCAAGAGCCTCTGGTGGTAATATACATCCATCCGTCTTTCTCACTGCCTCACAGTCTTCTTCTTGCTCTGTTCTCAATAGCATGCTTGAGAGTTCGAACCGGCTCGATGAAGAACACAGACTGATCGCCAGGTACGCGGCAAGACTGGCAGCAGAGTCCGCTTCGTCTGTAAGTAGTTTGAGTGAGAGTCTGTCATGTTCACTGTTATCCTTACAGTTGGTGCGACGACAGCAAAGCTGAGAACTTGTTACCGTGTGACCTGCAGGACCTAAACATGAGCCTTCTACTTCTATTTTTCACCGTCCGGCTATGGGTCTGGTGTGGCATAAATCGTAGCTTTAGGTATTCTGTTACAACACTGCTGAACCAGCCCAACACCGGGTATGTCTGGATAATTCCTGGTCAGTTAAGAGAAAGAGGAATGACTCAAATCCACAACTGGCTCAGATAAGTTTCCACTTTTATCGATATGTAGTATATACAAGAAACAGAAAACTATGTACTGAAATCAGAGGAAAAACCTGGATCACAGCTCGAAGCTGCCGTTCGCTAGGCTTAGCTACGGGAAGTCATTTAGGATATAAAACATAGGACCCCGAATCCTTTGTTAGCAACACAAATCACTTCTTTGTTAAAAGAAATGCCAATTAAAAAATCATAGAAAAGCTTTATGAGAGCCAGACATTTACCAAGCTTAATCTTTCTATAGTCAGGTGTCTGGACATTAAAAAGCAGGCTGAGTTTTTTCATTTCTGGGGGCGTAGGCAATTGATGCCATTTTTAAAAGCTTGGCATTCTTTAGTGGAAAGATTAATTGTGATTTTTTTTTAATTTGTTTAAAAACCAATTGAGGAACTTCTAAAATGTACTGTAGAGCAAAGAAAGCAAAGCGCAGGGAACTATACATAATCTGACTCTGTTTTTATAAAAAATGACAAATTAAACCTTCATTAAATGCACACATACATGTACGTATATAAATACAGTATGTGATTACATGTATATACATATGTAAATGTACATACATATGTAAAAGTTGACTTTTATTTGGAAATATGAAAATCAATCTATCCTTGTTGTAAAAAATCTTCTTGGGGTACCTGGGTGGCTCAGTCGGTTAAATGTCCAACTTCAGCTGAAGTCATGATCTCACAGTTCATGAGTTTGAGTCCCGAGTCAGGCTTTGGAATCTGTGACTCCCTCTTTCTCTGCCCCTCTCCTACTCACACTATGTCTCTCTCTGTCTCTCAAAAAATAAATAAATGTTAAAAAAAATTTTTTTTAAATCCTCTTGTAATTATTATCAATGTATTGTGTAAAAGAACTCATTTGATACAATAATACTTTGATTTTACAACAAAAAATACGTCTATAAATATACATATGTATATATGTATTTACATATAATCATAGGCCGTATTTATATATATGTATATATGTATGTATATTTAGTCAGGGAAATTTGCATATATATATAATTTGTTAAGATTAATTTCTGTGTATGTGTATATATATACGTATATATATATGTAGAGAGAGAGAGAGAGAGAGAGAGAGAGAGAGAGAGAGAATGGAGAAAGCTGTGACTGCATATACACTAGTTGTTAAAACATGACCAGGAGTGATGAGTGTTATGCCATGAATGTGGAGGAAGGATGTATATATCCATTAATGTAAAATTACATACATGAATAAAGAAATACTAATAAGTATGTTGACCAAAAGAAGAAAAGAAAATCCTATTAACTGTGATTTTCAAACCATGAAATTTTTTTATTGTGCGTTACAGTGATTGAACAGTAATTCTAGAGAGGTATCTCAACAGGGAAGTATTTTTTACACCCACCTACACTGAGAGAACTGTCACAGTGGGGACAGCACAGCAAGAATGAAATCGCTCCCAAAGACTTCAAGTCAGAAAGCTACAAGACTATGTCTTCTACGTTTTGTGTGTTTGCCTGCCAGAGAATTCTGTTCTGCTTCTGCTCGCAGAGGCGTCCCCCCAGATTCACAGAGAAGTCGGTCCTTAGGAGATGAATGGCAATTTCATGTATTTGCTTTTCCTGTTTCGATAGAAATAGTTTTTTTTCTTTCCTGTCTGCATATCTCGTGATTCCTGTCTCCTCACACACATGTAGGTTTCCATTCCCAATGTTAAACAGCATAAACCACATGTTTTACAGCAGCCGACGCAGCAGAGAAGTGCTCCTGACATCTCCTTCACCATTGATGCGAATAAGCAACAGAGGCAGCTGATCGCAGAGCTAGAAAACAAGAACAGGTAAGGCTTTTTAGACATGCTGGCTTTTTTGATCAGAGTGTGTGTTCACTGGAAACTTATAGTTATGCTTTAAAATATCCAGGTTTTTCAGCTGTATGCATATTTAAAGGACGATGTCTTTAGTCAGTGATATTGGCGTCTGAGAAGCTCATCTTTAGATTTTAGATCTTCAAAAGCTTCATGAGAAAACATACATACAGTTCTGAGATATCAGTGCAATTAATGTTTCCTCTCTAGACAGTATCATTTCCCTTTTACTGACGTGCTTGTTTTTGTTGAAAGTTTATTTATTGTGAGAGAAAGAGAGAGAGTGGGAGCAGAGGGTGGGGCAGAGGGAGAGGGGAGAGAGAAAACCAAGCAGCCCCAACTTGGGGCTCTACCTCACTAACTGTGAGATCATGACCTGAGCCAAAATTAAGAGTAGGACACTTAACTCGCCAAGCCACCCTGGTGCCCCAACACGCCTGTTTTTGTTAAGGAGCTGTCTCATTCAGAAGGGCCCTCCTGAGTGCCACCCAGAGACAAACAGAAGGCTCTTCTAAAAGAGGCATTTGGAAGTCGCCCGGGTGACTCAGTCGGTTAGCGTCCGACTCGTGGTTTTGGCTCAGCTCATGATCTCACGGTTTGTGAGTTCTAGCCCCACATCGGGCTCCGCGCTGGCAGAGTAGAGCCTGCTTAGGATCCCCTCTCCCTCTCTCTCTGCCCCTACCCTGCTTGTGCTCTCTCTTCCTCTCTCTCAAGATAAATAAACTTTTAAATAAGCAAATCAGGCATTTGGGCTGACACCACTGTCCCCCAGTTGTTGGAGCCAAACACCTCCATGCCCAAGTCCATCAGCAGGACTCTGTTTATTCGACACAGACTGATTCTCAGCCGACCCCCACAACATATCCCAGACTGTCCACTCCATTTCCACCATTAGCAGCAGCCCAACCTGTCACTGTGTAAAACACAAGTCATATCATGTTATTTTATGTTCAAAACCCTCTGATGGGTTTCTGTCACACTTTGACTGAAACCTACCCTTCTTACTGTGGTCTGTAAGGTCTAACCTGGGCTGATGCCTGCCTACCTTGCCAGCCTCCACAAATCCTGCTCAGTGTGCTCCTGCTCACCTCTTTCCTTGCAGCCTGTGTACTAGCTGTTCTCTCAGTTTAGGGCGCTCTTCCTTAGGGTCGCTGCATGGGCAGGCCCTTCTCATCATTCAGGTCTTACCTCACAAGTCCTCCTGTAGAATCGTTCCCACTACCTCCTGCGCCAGGAACCGCTCTCTATCACAGCTCCTGGTATGCGTGTGAGACATCATTATCTGAAATAATTGCATCTATGTGTCTGTTTCTTTCTTCCCTGACTGAAATGGAAGTTCTTTGAGAACAGAGGCCATGCCAAAGGGCCTCTGGGTTCTAGGCCCATGGTTAGGATGTTGCAGAAGCTCAGTAAATATATACTGAGTGAGAAAAATAATTAATTTCAGAGTTAGATCTCAAACTCAATACTGAGTAGGTCCAGCATGGGAGCAATGTGTACATTCTAGATCTCTTAGAAGAGCACCAAACTGTCTTAACACTGAATCCCAATCTTTTTTAAATTTTTTTAATGTTTATGTTTGAGAGAGACAGAGAAACAGAGCATGAGTAGGGGAGGGGCAGAGAGAAAGAGGGAGACATAGAATCCAAAGCAGGCTCCAGGCTCTGAGCTGTCAGCACGGAGCCCGACGTGGGGCTTGAACTCATGAGCCATGAGATCATGACCCGAGCGGAAGTCAGATGCTTAACCAACCGAGGCACCCAGGGGCCCCCACTGAATCCCATTCTTAAACACTGATGTCACTTCTGAGATCAAACTGAATAAAGGAGGAGGTCCTGATCCTTGTTCCATGCGTATAGAGTTTGACATGAGAATTTAGGGATAAATGGTCAAAGTGTTTTTTAACGTTCTATGATAAAAATTAAAAAGAAGGTGCAGACTTGGTTGGCATATTTTCCTGTTCTTAGAAAGAGAAAAAGACTACAGTGAAAACTCTCAAGCCCACAAATACCTTACCTTGGTTGCAGTGTGTACCTGCTCTCCTACCTCTCCAAAGCACTTTATTTTCCCTTCAAATCCTCTGCTTCCACTCAGCATGAGGTGAAATCAGGACCTCCTTTAAGGAAATACCCCAGTGACATCGGCCCCCATGCGGAATTCCAGAATCAGCTAGGAGCACCATGGATGTTCCAATGGCCCCAGCTATGCTGTGCTACCAGTCTTACTGCTTGTTTCCAAGACGTTTCTGGATGTTGTACTCTGAATGCATGTTTGTAGGACCAGAGAGAGAATAAAGAAATGGGAATGAGAAGAGATGGCAGAAAGAGAAGTTTGTCCTGTCTCTTAGTCCTTTCGTGGCCCACAGAGTTCCCCACACCATGCCTGAAGAGCATCTAGTCCATCCTGAACTCATTTGTCTAAACCGGTGGCTTCATGCCCTCCAAGGACCCCAGAACCGCGTCCCAGAAGCTTATCCAGGTCAACTTCTGCACTGTAGGAATTCGCCCTAGGAATCCCATGGTCTCCAAGGTGACAATGAACCCACTAATCAGATCTCCGAGCTTCAGGGGAGGTTAGAGTTCCTCACTTCACTCCATGACTACTCTGGGTGATTCATGGACTTTTCAGCCATGATCGTTAGAAGATAATGCTTCCTCATAGCACACTTGGAAGAACTAATTGGGATTGGTATTAGGAGTAGCAGTACTCTTTGCATTATATGACATAAATCACAGCCTGCATAGGCTAAACCTGTCAGAGCAAACACCAAAGACAGAGGGAGTCAGATATCCATGGCCTCTGGAGCTAACCGCCTGGGTTCAAATCACCTCTACCACCTACTTGTTATTGAACTTGGGCAAGTCTTCTAACTGGCCTGTGCTTTGATTTCCTTATTCATGAAACAGATAATAGCAGGACCTATATACAATTTTTATGAGGATTCAATAAAAGAAGATTAAAGAGGAGAGCATAGTTCCTGGCGAGAGGCTAAGAACTCAGTACTCTTTACAGATCTTACCATAATTTTTCTTATCAGAGCTGCTTCTCTCTTTTCCTTCCTTAAGCTAAATGCTGCATCATGGTTCTGTCCTTGGAACTGACAAGGAGAACAAGTGGGAGTCATAGAATGTCAGGATGTTAGTCCTGGTGGAGAACTTCGAAATCTCGGCTTTACTGATTTTCAGGCCCTGTGGGACCTGGGGTCTCTATAGAGGTCTGAAGAAGGCGAAGAAGGGCTTTCTTTCACCAGAACAGGCTCCCTTTTAACCATTTGACGTATTGAGTTTCCATAGAAAATTTGTCTTAAAGTTTTCCACCAGGGAATGCCAAAGGGGGACAGAAAAAGGTGGAAAACCCCTGAATTATAGTTCAGTCTCCTCACTATACCCGTGAGAGAGGTAGTAACTAATAATGAGCTTCTTAATGCTGGTGTGTTTATGAAGCAGGCAGTTGTAAATCAGCCGTTCGGATGGAAAGCCATCGCCCTTGCTCACCAAGTTCACCTTCCATTCCTTATTCCTTAGTGCTTTGTTCTTATTGTCTGTCTCTTGTGCGTTTTGCTGGATGGAAGCCTGACCCCTCCCCCAAGAATATGTGTCTTGTAACCTTGCTTAATGGCTTCAAACTCACTTAGGGATAATTTGCCTTGCATAGGTCACCTATCCTTAATGGCGGCCTAATGTTCACTTCAGTGCGGGGCAGCCCAGGCTCCGACATCAATAATAGACTGACACATCTCACCCCTGACAGGGGTCACGCCAATAGCACTCTTATGTCACACCCTCAATTACAGTGAATCCTTTTAAAAGCACTTTCCTTCCAAGGCTACCCTCACTGAGATCCATTGTTGAGGCTGAAAATGGTAAGAATAAGAAAAAAATTTTGGGCCTAACCGGGGGCTTCTCCGATAAATTCAGTGAGGGGAATGTCATTCCCGGTGAGAGAATGGGGTTATTTAGTTTTGTGAAATGAGCACCATTTATCCTGTTTTCCCTCCAAGCACCTCTTAGCCGGTAGCTGCAATGACTTGATGGGGTCAGGCTGTGATCAGAAATAATCGGAAGATATATTTTTGCTCCTAAGCAGCACACTTTTCAAAGTTGAACACGTTACCGCAGTATTATGTTACTTAGTAGAGCGATTATCAGGTCCTGGTGAGAACACTCAGCTTGAAGTCTCCAACAACATACTGTAGAGTTTGAATGTGCTGGGGCTGAGGTCAGCCTTCCGCTGTCCGTAGCACCCACCTAGCTACAGCCAGTCCCTCATAAACACTGTTGGGTAGTGAGACTTTCTTCTGCTCCCAAACATAGGGTGACCGCCCCCCTTGGATGTTAGCATCCTGGATATCCTGGAAGTTAACTGACCCTAGTTTCTTACCTTCTTCCTCTCTCCCAAGAGAAATCTTACAGGAGATCCAGAGGCTGCGGCTAGAGCATGAACAAGCTTCTCAGCCCACTCCAGAGAAGGCACAGCAAAACCCCACTCTGCTGGCAGAACTCCGGCTCCTCAGGTAAGAGAGGAGCCCAAGGCCTCTTGGCAAATGCAAGTGACTGGGATCTTCCAAAAGTCTAACGGCGTCCAGCCAGAAAACAGTCCTTAGCCACCATAGCTGCTGACATGCTTGCTGTTTCTTTTTAAAAAAAAAAAATTTTTTTTTAATGTTTATTTATTTTTGAGGGAGAGAGAGTGGGGGGGGTGCAGAGAGAGAGGGGGGAGACACAGAATCTAAAGCAGGCTCCAGGCCCTGAGCTGTGAGCACAGAGCCCGCCATGGGGCTCAAACTCACAAACCACGAGATCATGACCTGAGCTGAAGTCAGACACTTAACTGACCGAGCCCCCCAGACACCCCTGTTTCTTTTTTAATAGCACAGGCCTATTCACTGAGATTTGGGGGTTTTAAGGAGCTGCTGTGTATATTTTATTCTTTCATGTGACACAGTGAAGGGGAAACAGCATTCTTTACAAGCAAAATCTCTCACTGAAAAAAATTTGAACTCAACTCTTTTCTAGTTATTTGCACTATCGACAATGTGTTTATGATACAAGTGATCAACGCAACAAACACAGAAACAGCTAAATAAACATCACAGGCTTTTACATTTAAAAATTTACCTGTAACCCACAAAAAAGGAGTCTGATTTTCTCTCAATCTCGGTCCGTAAAAGCTTCACATGCAGACCTTAAAAAAGAGACCTCATACCTTCTTGTTCTGCTAATGAATTAAAACACCTGCTGTTGTCTAGTCCGACACCATAAGACATTTGAGTCTGAAAGGCCCTTAGAAGGTTCCACCCTTGAATTTCAGTGCACTTTTCAGAGTCAGGAAGGTAGAGAATAGCACATGCTGTGCTCATGTGCAAAAGGCTGGGGGGTGGCTGTGGGCTTCACCTCAGACCGGCTTAGCACCATGCCTTGAAATATGACACATACTCAAACCTAGGTGTGTAGCAAACAGCACAAACATAAATTCAAAGGCATTGCTTCATAGGAATGTCCTATTTCACAAGGCACTTTTAGTTGTTAGCAGATAGGACATTCTTTCCATCTTCCAGTTTCGGTGCCAGATTCCAGGTATATCTTACTCTGAGGGACGCTTTTTATAGCAAGTACAGATGCCTCTTCTCAGAAACCCTTGTCATCATTAGAGTGCCATTAACTTCTTCCAGACAAAATGACTAAATTAAGCAGGTTCTGGATGGTTATGTTTGGATTTTACCAAGTTCCTATTGATTGTAGTCATGGATGTTTCCGGGGGTTCCATCCCAGCCCTGCTCTTCAGACACACGCGTGACGAGGCACCACAGCACATCTGGCCCAGGCTGCAGGCCCTGCCTGCTCTCAGGGAGGCCCCATTCTCCCTCTCTCCAGGCCTGTGCACCTGCCTAGACGGCAGAGCCACCAAAGGCATGAGTTATGGAAAGGAGATCTATGGAACCGGCAACTTGTGGGGGCTGCTTGATGTGAAAGGATCATGTCATACTTTCGAATAACTAAAGAATTTAGTGGAAGAAACAGAAATCCTTCCTTTTCAAACTATATAATCTCTGGTCCTTTCTTCAGGGAGATGTATTAGAAGTCCTTGCATGTTCTACTACACGTCACCCAGGTGGGATGAAAGTGGAAAGAAGGAAAAGGTGACATTCTGTATCATTATCCTCAAAGGCATATAAAAGTAAATGCCTGCTCGAAAGAAAATTTGCCTACTAGGACTATGTAGGCCCTCCCAGCTCACAAGCTGTGAGTCGAACTTACACAGAAACATAACTGAATAAACCAATTTGGAAATGGAGTAATCATTCATCTCCACATCTAGGTACCTTGTCTCCTGAAATGTTCTTTATGCCTCTTCCATTGAGTGTCCCACTCTCTGTTGGAGGGATGATGACTAGGAATTTTTCATAAACATTTTCATCAGATCACCTGTTAGCATTTGCTTTCGAAAGTATTTGGTTCCATTTGGGTGATGCCGTCCAGGAAGGCTTCTTGATGTGCCTGGGTCACTGATGATAGTTTTCCAACTGATACGTCTTCCCTCCTTGGCACTGCTATCTTGGAATAGACTGATGGTTCTAACCACCCTCCTGGCCCTGACTTGTGGGCATTCCCATATCCCCAGCTGATCCCAAACCCATGCTAAGGAGTCTGTCTCTGTGAAAAACTTCAGTGTTTTGGGTGCTCCCTGTCAGCCGGTGGCCCACGCCTGAAGCTAGAGGCCTGAGGCCTGAGACACCTAAATCCCAACTGCCTCCATATTCTACACATTTCTTCTACCTTGAAGAAGAAGGAATGCCCTCCCTTAAAGGCTATTTCTCTAGATCCTTATAAGCCATTAATTCTCTGGTAAGCATTTTCGTGAGTTGGAGATTTCACAGATACCCTGACATCCTAGGTCAAGAAACTTGCTTTGGGTATTCTAACTTTTATCCTTTAGTCATTTCAGACTCCAAAACAATGGCTTCTTGCACACTTTGGCCTTTGGTCACACTGAGGAGTGGCCACATGCAGCAGCCACAGGAACTCCTTGGACAGAGATCTTCTCCGTCCATTACAACCTTCTGGTGCCTCTTATTGAGAAACCAACAGGAGAAATTTCTTTCAGCTGCGGAATGGACGAGGGGAGACAGGAGCAGAGCTCAGCTTTTCATTAATGCAGTTCATTTTTATCTTAAGAGCACTATGACCTTTCTAAATAATCACATTTTCCTTTTTACATCAGCCACAAGAAAGCTGACAGCCAAGTTTGCAACCCAGATCTGACAACCAAGTGGGGTTATATGATAGGCATTTCCGTGTGCTAATCTGACGCTCCCTAGGCACTAAACTCTATAATACACTGTCCCGGGTAATTGCTGTAACAAACCCAGGAGATAGACACTATTATTGTACTCTTTTTATAGGTATGGAAACTGAGATTCACAGAAGTTAAATAATTTGCCCAAGATCGCACACAATGAGTAGCACATGTGGATTCCATCTCCTTTTCTTGGGTCTTAGTTATCTCCTGCTGGACTGTTATTACTCACTTAATTGATTTCCTGGCCCCTGACCCATCTACACTACTATCAGATCTATCATCCCTCATTTTATTATTCATTTAGTTCATTCAGCAAATATTTCTAAAACGCAGGATGCCCACAGTTGAATTGAAAAAGATACTGTCCTGGTCCCACAGAATGTGTGGTCCAGTAGGAAAATGACATACATCAAATAAGCACACAAATGAGAATATAGTTACAAACTGAGATAAGGACTATTAGGAGTCTTGCTTTTAAATAGAGACATTATAATAATTAAGATCAGAGGTGGAGTTTTGGAGGGAGTTTTGCAAGGTTATCTAGCAAGCCTTCCTTCAATTTTTACCACCATATGGAACTGGACGTCTTCTTCAGAGTTACCACTGAAGTGCAGCAATTTGTTCATATTTTTATTGTACGCTCACCATCGTCGTCTTGAACTTCTTTCTCCTCCTCTTTCGCTCAAGGACAAAAACTGTATCCTACTCATTATTTTATTTACAGTGTCTTAAAAGTGCCAGATGGATGGCATGAATGGATAAGCTGCAAAACGATTAAGAGATAGCTAAAGAACTGTGTTTGCAAAGACAATACCATCTTCTAGGATAAAACATTTATTTAAAACTGTGAAGGAACTAACTTCACACCACAAATCTCAAAGAGGAAAAAAAGTATAATTTCCATATCTATACCTTGCAAAAAAAATAAACACTTTATTTTATACCCCCGAAATTACATTCTTATCAATGTGTATAAAATTATTTTTCAAGAAAACTTGCGGGACGCCTGGGTGGCTCAGTCGGTTAAGCATCCGATTTCAGCTCAGGTCATGATCTCACGGTTTGTGAGTTCGGGCCCCACGTTGGGCTCTGTACTGACAGCTCAGAGCCTGGAGCCTCTTTCAGAGTCTATGTCTCCCTCTCTCTCTCTGTCCCTCCTCTGCTCATGCTCTGTCTCTCTCTATCAAAAATAAATGAAATGTAAAACAACAACAACAACAACAACTTGCTAATTAAGGTAACTTTGTGTTCTATTAATTAAAAATGAAAGTGTAACCTCTGGTGTAAGTCAGTGGTTTCCAGAGTTGAATTTAATAGACCAGCTTAATTTTTAAATTATTTTTGGGAAATAACATAAAGCTGAATACTTTTTGTTTTACCATATGATGATACATTTTTTTTAAGTTTATTTATTTATTTTGAGAGAGAGGGCAGGGGAGGGAGCAGAAAGAGAGGGGGAGAGAGAGAGAATCCCAAGCAGGCTCTGCACTGTCAGCATGGAGCCCGATGCAAGGCTCCACGTCATGAACTGTGAGATCATGACCTGAGCCAAAACCAACAGCTGGATGCTCAGTTGACTAAGTCACCCCTGTAGGGATATATTTTTAGAATTACCATCATCTCTTATCATAACAGTTTCATGAATGACAGTATATTTTTTTAACTTTTTATTTTGAAAAAATTTAAGAGTTGTAAGAAAATCACAATGGATGTCCTTATATACTTCACCTAGAGATAACAAACATATTACTACACCCTTCTCTATCTCCCTATATGTTTATATATATATATATGTATGTATATATATATATATATGTATGTATATATGTATATATATAGCATACATATTTTTGATGAGTCATTTTGAGAGTAAGTTGCAGACATCATAACCCTTTACCACTAAGTATTACTGTGTATATTTCCTATGTAAAAATGTATTGTCTTACATAACCATGGCACCATCATCAAATTCAGAAAAGTTGATATTATTGTCTCATATATGATCTATATTAAAATTTTGCCTGTTGTCCCAATATTGTCCTAAGAGAAAATAGGTTTTAAGGTACATTCAAGGGTTACCTGGGGGGTTCCGTCAGTCGGCCAAGCATTCAACTTCAGCTCAGGTCATGATCTCACGGCTGGTGAGTTTAAGCCCCACATCAGTCTCTGCTGACAGCTCGGAGCCTGGAACCTGCTTCAGATTCTGTGTCTCCCTCTCTCTCTGCCCCTCCCCCACTCACACTCCATCTATCTCTCTCAAAAATAAACATTAAAATATATATATATCTCATATATATTATTTAAAAAACACACGCAAAATTAGAAATTATCAGGCAGAATCTCAAAATAAAAGACATTCCTTTTACAGAGGTATACATTTAGCTCTATGAAAATAAAATCACTACTTAGTCCTTGTTTTCTTGTTCCCACTTGGAACCATGGAAGCTACACCACAAATTTGTTAATCAGACCCCCGTTTGGTAGCCACTTATAGAGAAGATTAAATAAAGACATTATTACATGAAATTCTTTTTTTTTAAATTTTTTTTTAATGTTTATTCATTCCTGAGAGAGACAGAGACAGAGTACGAGCAGGGGAGGGGCAGAGAGAGAGGGAGACACAGAATCCGGAGCAGGCTCCAGGCTCTGAGCTGTCAGCACAGAGCCTGACGCGGGGCCCGAACTCACAAACCGCGAGATCATGACCAGAGCCCAAGTCGGACGCTCAACCAACTGGGCCACCCAGGCGCCCCATGAAATTCTTTTAATTGAATTTAATCAATGCATGAAAGAGTAGATGTCATGTTTTGAAAGATTACTACTTATAAGAAAACTGTACAAACAAGTTTTTTTAATTGTTGATTAATTCTAAATTAATACCAGTTAACTTTTCCGCATAGTTTTTAGATGCCTACCTTAGTATTTTTTACCTGCAATATTAGAATTTACTGCAACCCTCTTCGCAAAGTGCTCCTATGACCAAAAGTCCAAAAATTACAAAGCAGTATCTAGAAGAAGACTGGAAATACGTCAGAAACATTATCCTTCTACCAACCCCTACCATGGATATATTTGGGACACCATGTGCAGACAAGGTCAAAGATAAAACAGCTAGTGGATTTGTCATTGACGAATATTTTTGAATGGAGTTAAGACTTTCAAAATTAGAATGTTGCAGCCCGGGAAGACAAAGACTAAACTAAGATACCGTTAAAATCTATAAAATCATGATGTGCCTTGTCCTTCAGGATTCACAAAAGAGGCAATTGTAAAAGAAAAAGGAAGGAATGTTCTGGTAGTAAGTAAGCCTTGAATGGCAATAAAAGCCAAAAATATAAATATATTCAAAAAGCGTTGAGGTATGTTTATAAATTTTAAATTCATAATTCATTAGAGAAACCTGAATCAAAGCAAATTAGGAATGTTTCATTTATATCCATAACCTGTGCTCCCCACAAAATATCTTTCAATTGGATGAGTCATTGACCTAAGTCAGTGTGACATTTTCATACTGTCAGTTTTTCATTTCAGAGTCTCTGCTACAGTGCCACTTAATCTTATGCCTGGGCCATTGAGACTAGGCACATCCATTCATACATTAACACATGGTTAAAGCAGTCACACATTTTTAAAATATAAGTTCCAATATCTCAAACTCAGACAGAAGCCTTTGGGGCACGGGGAAAAAATTGTGTATATTATTCACTAATGATCATGAAATAATAGATTTGAAATTGACTTGAAAAGTACACACATACATCAGAAATACGAACCATTAATATTCTTCTCCATACTGTTTCATTTCTTTTCCCTCTTTTAAAGATATTCTTGGTACCTCTCAGTGTCAATATAAATGATGGAGTATAGATTGTCCTTTGTGGTTTCCATTCTTGCTGACAGTTTAATAGAAGTTCTGCAAAACAAACAAAATTAAACAAACACAAATCTTATAGGTTATTTTCAGTTGGAACAATTCTGTAGGAACTCCTATAAAGTCAAACCCAAACCAGAAAACTTCAGTTGACTATAAAAACTCTGTCCTATGAATATTTCACCTCTGAAAGGTACCATATTGCATACTAAGAATGGAAGAAATGAAAAATAAACTTTCAAACTCCAATTTCCAAATACTAGGGTAATCAGTATGCCCTTTGAGATTTACAGAAGCGTCCTTGGTTTTGGAAGATCTGTGGGATTGACCTTTTTCGGTGACAGTTTGGTTTCTGTTTGTCTTAAGGGAGCCCAATGGCATCGCACAAGGCCCAGGACATACTAAGCATTCAGAAAAGATTTCATTGACTGGTGAATTCAGGGTAGAAGGGGGAGTATATCCAAGAGGATTTTAATTCATCTGTGTTTTGGTATGACTTCTAACAAACAAATGTACTTCTAACAAACAAATGACTTCTAACAAACAAACAAACCTCAAGCTATAACTGTTCGTTCATTTGACATTTCCCTGCCTGGAAACCACATCAGAGATCAGAGATGCTCTTTTTCTGGCGGTCTGCTAGTGTCACAAGACTTGGAAGTGTGATCAGCTCAGTGGGTTGAATGCTGTTCTGATGATGACTACTTCTTTCTTAGACAGCGCAAGGACGAGCTGGAACAGAGAATGTCTGCTCTCCAGGAGAGCCGGAGAGAGCTAATGGTCCAGTTAGAAGGTCTCATGAAGCTACTAAAGGTAAGACATTTCAAATAAATGTTTCCTAGACCTGTGACTATGGCATTTGTAAAAATCGTTCACACATAATGTGCAATGATTTCTCCAATTACTGTATGTGATTTTCCCCCAAATACGGCTTCAGTCCCAGATATAGGATCTTTTCTTAGATATGTCCAAGATAGCAGTCAGTTTATCAGGCTCATTCTTATCCATTTCCTGGAACCAGACTACTGAGGACCCTCATAGGACAACTTCTTGGCTTATTTCCAGTTCCTATGTCCTTGAAAGTACTAAAACTGGATTTATTCAGGAACATTGTACATTTAATAGCTTCGGAAGTTCTGAATAAAGTGAGCAGAAGCTAATGCTTCTGCAAGATGAAGATATAGCCATAATTTTGGAGATTATAGTTTTATTAAGAGGAGTAACTAACTGATCATTTCAGTGAAGTATCTTCTCTCATCTGTGAGGCTTTAGCAGCAAGTCACGTAACTTCCATGACTCTCAAGTACAAACTGTAAACAGGAATACCCCCTTAGCTCTCTGCAGGTAGAGTGTTTAATAAGATGATCTAGGGAAGTCCTCTGCAGAGCGCTGTAACCTGTTAGTCTCACTGGGAAGTGGCCTTCTCCGTTTCATAAACCCCTACCCCCTTCTTCAGTATATACTAAATCACGTGTCAAGTCACAAGTAGGCTAATTATGGTCACATGGCCACAGTCGGCCCAGGAGAGGTGTCAGTGCTAGGTGGTCATCCCGCCTGAGGTAGACAAGCAGAAACCACTGCAGATTGGAACTGTGATATGCCAAAGGCGGGAACTGATACTGAAACTTGCCCGGTCCCTGGGGCAGCTCATCTGTGAGACAGGCGTCCATTCTTTCAGTCCCCGGATCCCTCGCATCCCCGACACACCATCATTTACTGTTTCGCCCTTCCTCTTTTCCTGTCTTTCCTTTTTTTTCTTTTCTTTTTTCATTGCTTTCTTTCTCTCTTCCTTCCTCCTTCCTAGCTTTCTTTTATGCATTTAACAAATATTTGCTGAAACCTACCGTGTCCTAGCACTGGGCACACACTTACATATAAGTGCAACACTTCCTTCTTTGGTTTCCTTTGGTCTTTTTTTTTTTTCCCCCCCTTAGACAACTTTTCCTGCCATCAGTGTTGGGAATGCTTTACCTTCACTAAACCAAATTTACTTTTCAGTATATTAGCCATGTAAAGTGTAGAACTCAGTTTTTGTTGTACCATATATATTGAGACAGGACTGGATAATGGATAGCCTCTCACTGTTTCTGCCCTGTTGTCTCATTTGATGATCCAGAAAAGCTCTTTCAGCTTTCCTTTTCAAATAGACCAAATGAAGAGGGTCGATCTCATCTTTCCCTTCACTGAATGACAGGAAACCTTGAAAATAGCCCACTGCTTATATTCCTATAGCTTCTGTCACCACAGCAATGGGGTGGGGGTGGGGGTGGGGGTAGGGGGGTTCTATTTACTGTCAGCCATCTTGGCATCGACCTGGCCTAACCCAGCACAGTCTGTTCTATCAGGAGGTATAAACAGCAGGCTAGAGGGATAGATCGTGTGGAAAGGTGGATGGACATAGGAAGGAATGAGATGGGCTGCAGTCTCACATACCTGAATAGACCTGGGACTAAAGTCACTGAGGTAGGAGAGGCCGCCACCGAAGCCGTGTTGATGTTTCCCCCATCTTGCATTCCCTCACACTGTGTACGCATTCTGCCTGGAACCCTGGGTAACCTAACTGTTATTGATTCAATCTTTCTGTAGGAAGAAGAACTGAAGCAGGGAGTAAGTTATGTTCCCTACTGCAGGTCTTAACTAACTATGGAGGGGCCTGCCATCCTGCCGTTTTCCCATTGCTTTTGCCTCTAATGTCTGTTCACGCTTCAGTTTGGAAAGAGAACAAAAATCATACTAATTTGCTTCCTTTTCAATGTAGTGCTTGAATTGAGACATATAAAATTTAGCTTTTTTTTTTTTTAATAACTGTTACTACTGTGGGCATCAAAAGAAGAGCCGTTACACCTTTTAGAAGAGGGGGAAAAAAATCATGTGTTGGAGACTTTTTACAGCTCCAGGGGTCTAAGTTTCCAACCAGTCTCATGCTTTTCTGGGTTATTGATCAGACCCGTCTCTGAACAGAGACACCCACTCTGGCCACTAAAGCTACATACAGCACTCAAGCTAACCTCTCTGCATCCTCTCATTTAGTTCAGTTTCCATTTTACTGGAAAGGCGTGTGACCTCTTTGTACAAAAGTCCGCCAGTTACGTCTCTTTTCATTGCATAATTACTAAGCTCTGTTCCCCCCTGGTCACCAAAATGGGTTCAGTCCAGGAGAAACACTGTCCTCAGTATCTGCTCATTTCCCATTGTTTAGTTCTTGAGAACGGAATCCCTACCACTGGTTCGTAATAATCTCAAAAGAATGGGTAACTTTCAGCCCTTCTCTTATCACCAAGAACCTCTCTGCTCCGGGAGTTCACAAGGCCCTTGCATACATCTTCTCTGGAAGCAGGAACACTGTGATTCTCTAACTGTAGTCGCTCAACTGGAACCCTGTGTCTGACCCTGTGGTCCGGTTCAGAGCCATGAGAGGGAGTAGCCTACTCGAAACATAACAATAACAAAACAGAAGCAAAAGAACAGCAACTTTAATTTCAGGTGCACGTACCAAACCGTGTATGACGCTATATCCCATTTGCTGGTATCACCAGGAAGTTTCACATCATTTCCATGGATCGATTAGAACCACAGCCTGTCCAATTTCAACGTACCTTTTATTCTTCTGTATTCTCTTTCCTGTTATTCATTGTGTGTGTTTGTGTGTAACAACGAACGTTTGCAAAATGCTGGACACAGTTTTACCCTTCCTTCCCACGGTCTGTAAAAAAGGAAAGTGTAAAACTAATCTGTAATGTCAGACAATAAAGACAATGTATTACGCTATTTTGTATTTTGTGAAAAAAGTTGCTTTACTAAAGTCAAATTTTAATGAGAGACAGTCCCCCTTGGTGAAGGACGCACATTTATAGCCTGTCTAATTGCCCATAAAGGCGTACATGGGGCATTGCTATTGTAGTTCCAGCGCACTTAGATCATGGTAGAGAAAAATGCCTTGCTGTGCTGCTTCTCTGTGCAAACAGCCTCTTTCCTTTCCTGTCTCTTACTTAGCATGTGCACAGAAAAAAGGGGGAAAAAGCTCAAATATAACCTCACACCTAGTGGAGAGAGGGCAATCATCCTATAGTCCATCAGCCTTGCTGAGCCATCTCCCTCAGGGGCCCATTTCCCACCATTCCCCAGGCCACACATTCTTGAAAGGCTGTGTGGACCAGGAAGTTCATAAACCCATGGCTGCAAACAGCCAAACCATGGCAGCACCCATAGAGCATTACTGCCTCCTTTCCTTCCAGCTCCTCCCACGGAGCCCTCAACAGTGGCCGCATCTCTGAAAGTCAGCCCTCAGCTGGGTACCGCTGCCTAGGTTCTAAAGGGCCATCATTGGGAACGCTCAGATGTCAGCAATGCGATGTCTGGGTGGGAAGAGAATTTGCTTGTCTTACTCATTTATTGATGTGCTTGTATAGTCAAGCCTCTTTTCCAAAAGGACCCAAGGCAGCTCCCAACAAAAGACATCAGCAATGACTTCATAAAATAAATATAGAAAGATCAGAAACTAACGAAGAGAAAATGCAAATATGCTAATCATAAGAGACAAGGGTGTTCCTCTGAGCTTTTTGGCAATGAGGCAAAAAAAAAAAAAAAAAAAAAAAAAAAAAAAAAAAAACGGATTTTGTGGTTTTATCAAAACAAAAATACCAGTTCTCAGGGGACCAAAATTTCTGTTGGCATAAAATATGAAAAAGAAGTCTTTACTTGGAGCTTTAGAGAACTTGTGCTGAATAATAAACGGGACAAATGCAGCAGCAGATGTTAAGTGGCTGATTATTATACTGACCTTCAGTTAAAATTAAAGACAGAACCCTGTACGTCCCAATCCTGAGCAGGCAGATCTACAAGGAAAGAAACATATGCCATTCAAATATATAGACTTGGTATAACATGATCTAAGGAGAGAATTTAGAGGTTTTAGTCTGCTGTCTGCTTCTAAATTCTATTTTTATTTATGAGCCTTACCCCTTTGGGGACATTCTCTTTGTAAAATCAGATTTAAGACACTGCACACAACAAATTGTGCTTGATTTAATAACCTCTACTTGCTTTATCATAAGTCTCTGTGGTTCAATGTATTTTATGATACTGGTATATATAATTCCTACTTCTGTTTCTTGTTAGAGATAATGCATGAATTTATCCCCCTTGAGGAGAGAACATGAATTAAAAAAAAAAAATAGTGCCTGTAATATAATATGATGATTATGGTATCATAAGCAATAAATTTTTTTTTACAAAACTTGCATCAAAATTATCCTACCCTCTTTCTTCTTTGTGTATTTTTAAGATTTATTGCAGGAACCATAAAAAGAACACTCATAAAAAGTGTAATAATGAAGGCAGCTGGGGTATAATTGCAATGACAGTATGTTTCAGAGTTTCTGGTAGACTTCCAGTTTCCAATATCATGTCCCAATCTAAAACCAGATATCCTGACTTTGAGTTCAGGATGTAAGGTCTCAAAAAATTTTTGCAGAAAGGTGACTGGTGTTAGACCGGACGGTAGGGTCCCTGTTCTTCTCTCATACCTGTAAGATCTTGAGTTAGTCAGTTAACTTCCTGGTAATTTATCTCAAGTAGACTGCTAATACATGGCCCACAGGATTTGGGGGGAGATTTTGAAAGCTAATGGATGTGAAAGCACTTTGTAAAATACTATATGCATGTCAGAGATTAGTATAAAAGTGTGTATATGTTTATACACATACATCCAACAATATGTAAACTTTTGTGATTTGACCCCTATTTTACACACACACGTGCATGTACACACACACACACACACACACACACACACACACACTTCTCTTCCTTCCAGTTAACTAAGAGTGTCTCAGTCAGAGGAGGAAAGTGAAACATCATTTCAAATTCCATCTCCTGACCCATTCTATTCTCTATTAATAACTGGAGGCCCAGTTAACTTGGGAAATCATGGTCTCTCAGGTTTCTGCTTCTCCCAAACACATTGGGAATATGAGCGGGCCAGAAGTAACGAGTTTTATCAGCATCAGTTCACCTTCCTTTATCTCCCTCACCCATCTTCTCTGGTGGGTATTCTGTGGAGTGGTGAAGCAATCAGAAATGGGATGGAGTTGGCAGGGTGGGGCGTGGGGAGACAATTCACATCATAAATAATCAACTACAATATTAGGACTGGCATCCAGTGTTCAAAGCATACCCTCTCAGGCTCTCTCTCACACAAACTTTTTTAAAATTAGGGATTTAGTCAATTCATTCTAGGAGAGTAAAAATTATTTTTTTTTTACTTGAAAACCTTCGGAGATGACCTTCTGGTTCAGATTAAACCACCCCCTGACCAGCCCCAGCCCTCTTCACTCCCCACAGCAAACCTGGGGCATCCTCGCGCCCTCTGCGATACCCCTCCTCTTCTCTTCCCTCGCTCATGACACTCTAAGACCTGGAATATTCTTCTCTCCTGGCAATACGACCTTTCTTCTGCCCGGAAATCTCCACTATTAAGACTCAAGTTAAGTGATGCCTCCTGCCCGACCAGTTAGGGTTAGTCACCTCATCCCTACCCCCACAGCCCTTTGTACACGGCAATCCCTATGATGATAGTCAGTGAACGTGAACTGGAAGAGAGGGTGAAAAGAGGGTTGGACATAGCTAAACGCTACTCTGCTGTACCTTCTCCGGCTGCTGAGTCACACCTGGCTGACGAGGCTGCATTCCCAGCCAAACCCGAGAGGTAGGCTTTTCAGTCAGGGGGAGGGTTGTGCACTCGTGTCCCCTGGTCACCTGCTCAGCCGTGTCTCCAGGCAGTGCTGGTTCAGCAAGTACACATTTGGTCCCTTCCCTGAAGCCTCTCTCCTTTCTGGTGCCGAGTGGAAACCAAAATACTTCCTGGAAAAAAATCAGAAAATGTATGGATCTTGTCAGGCTTCTTAAAAATTGATACAACAGCAGGTTGAGTGGGCTCAGAGGATGGAGTGCGGAAATGAATTTTTCATCTATTCACTAGGAAGCAAGCTATTTTAAATTTGCCAAGTATGATGTATGTTTTCCTTCCTCCATAAATCAACTCTCCTCTCAGGAATTTTAGATCTATATATTGATCTGCATGGACCGTTGTCCCTTAAGTATTCACTCCATTAATCATCAAGTAATTTCCAGGGAAGGATGTTCGCAGAGATCACTCACTCTAACTCTTCTGAAGTTGTTAGCAGACAACTGTATATACTTCGTGAACAGGCCAGAGGCCACCATTCCGCAGTGGTCACTACCCGAAAATGAAACTCCACTGATCAACCCCAATACCAAGAGGCAACTGTCCTTTCCTAGTGAGTCTACAGAAAGAACAGAAAGGAAGGCCAGAGACGGCATTTCCAGCAGTAGGTCCCGGGAAGCTACTGTGCATCCAACTGGACAGTGTCCGGACAAAGAGACAGGGCCGTCGTCACCCAGGGAGCCAGGGGCCGGAGTCTGGACATTCCTTGGGGGTTGGGAGTTGCAGGGAAGATGCCACTGGATCTTGTCTCCAGCACAGAATCTCTACCTGAATTCTTCACGTAATCAGACTGCTTGAAATTGCACCAATTAGATACTCATTTAGGAGATGGTGCCTATCAGTCATTTACACATTGGTGCCATTTACATTCAGGCCATTGTTTTTCCCTTAACACATCACCATAGTCAATTATTTTTCTCTTCACACAGACCATGAAGAGGGGTTTTGAAGGAAAGAAGCAGGAGGGAAGCAGTGGGCAAAGTTGACTTTGGAGACCAGGCATTATTAAGCAGGGAGAGTTAGGGCTGGGAATGCCTCAAACGCAGCAGGAGAGAGCCCAGGGCACAAGGAGAAGGGGAGAGTGTTGCCAGAGGTAAGAGACTCACCGACTGGAAGGTTAGAAGGGCCAGGTGAAGGCCCAAAGGGAGAGGACGGCGCCATGGGCACCCTGCACGGGAGACCCTGATGGAACAGGTGCCAGTGGTGCTGGTGTGCGTGCAGCCCCAGTACAGCCATTAAGATACTGAAATGCAAACTCACAGCCCCACATCTGAAGTCACCGGGTCCGGGTGTGTCCCAGGATTCAGAATCTTTCTGGGTTTTAGAAAGGCAGTACAGTGCAGACGCCATAGAAATAGCCTCATGTCAGTAATGAAACGACAAATGTTGCTTCTTGGATTTCAAATTTGCAGATAAGAGATTTGCACCGGTGTATCTGTACTGATTGATAATCGGCCCACAGTCTCTTCCACTACCAGGGCCCTCACACTGCACCCCGCCATCCGGCGATTGAAAGCTATTGCACAGCCCAGCCAGAAGCCTGGGGCCCCTACTCCAACACCCCTCACCGGTGGGTCCAGATACTGTGTTTTCTCAGCCTTCAGGCTGCTAAACCTTTCTCCGTGAGTGGTGTGTGGTGATTGGTCACAGGGCCCCCGATCTTCAGAAGCGGCTGTGGTGCTGTGGGAAAGCCCTGGGCTTGTAGGCGAAAGGCTGGGGATCTCGTTTATTTCTGCCACTCTCTCACCGGGTAACCCAGTTAGCACCTCTGAGCCTCAGTGTGCTAACCTGGAAAATGGGAATAGAATACTTCACATGGTGGCTAGCAGGATTAAGTGAAATCGTTGGGGTTAAAGTGCTTCATAGACTGCGAATTGCTATTCAAATATAAGCTACTATCATTCCTAGCACCAATAATGAGGAGAATGAAAGCAAACAATGTACGGAAAAGTGCTTTGTCCACTGTAACACACACACAAGTGGAGTTGTATTGTTATTATCGTGAACCCGCTACCCCAGAAGAGGGTCTGGCTCCCCAGAGCTGAGGCATCCCTGCCATTAACCTCCTCCCTTCAGCCCCTCTGTCCACCTTCCCATCCCAGTCCTTCCTCCATCTCGTGCCGTGACTGGTCCTGGGTAAAGAGGACACGTAAGAAAGGGCGGGGAGCCCCGCTGAGGGCCCTGCCCGGAGAATGGCACACAAGAGGGCTTGCCAGGGGGAGGCAGCCCTCAAGGCAGCGAAATGCCTTTGATGAGCCCTCAGCAGGCAAAACCCAGCCAGGTCCCTGCAACCAAGGGCAGACAGAGCATCCATGCTCAGAGGCCAGCCCAAGCTCTCCCGCTCTGCCTCCTGGGCAAACCTTTTTACCTCTCTGAGCACTGGGGTCCACAATCGCATCTTGAGAGTAATGATGCCCTACTTCAGGGGGTCATGGAGAGAAATGCACATGAAGACCCTTCTACACGGCAACGCGTGACTCAAATGTGGTCATGTATTATTGGCGTGGGAAGGCGGGGGGGGGTGCCACGGTAGCTCAGAAGCAGAAGTTTCGTGGCTATTGAGATGAACTGGCAAGGTTTGCTGGGGAAAACCAGACCTGTCCTTGAGCGGGCTGGGGCCACAGGCTGCAAAGCATCGCGAGGGGGCAAGCTTCCGTTCCCTGGGCCCGGACAGACCATTCAAGGTACTGTTGAGAATGAAAAGAGTGGAATCCCCAGCCCACTGGATCACATGAGTTATTTCCTGTGCTCTGCTCTGTTTTGCTTTGTGTTTAATTCTAGATTTTTCTCAATTTATAGATGTGACTTGTATGTGTGATGCCAAGCCCTGGAAAGCTAACAGCATGGCATTTGACAGGATTGATGTTGTGTGTTTTAACTGCAAGCAGCCCAACCCTCAGCAAAGTCTAAATCGAACACTCCAGAGCAGTGCTCCCAGGGTGCACGTCCCTGGGTGTGAATGGGTTGGTGCTGCATCTCTGGGCCTTGCTATGGAAGAGTCCTCACTCTCCCTGGCGGGACCCAGCAATCTGGACTGGAGTCTATGTGAGCACCTGAACACCTCACCTCTGAGTATGCACCAGAGGGTCTCATTGCATCCTCTTATTCATGACTGGCTTCCTTTGTAAACTAATTATTATAACACAGAAAGTGTTTCCAAGAAACCTCATTGTGTGGAGACAAAGCTGTGAAATTCAAGGTGTGAACAGTTTCATGCCGAGGACTGTGGTATAGAGGGAAATGGCTTTTAGTTGCTTTCTCCTTTTTTTTTCTTTACTCCCTCTTAAACCCCACTGTTCTGATTGCTGAAATTAACTGCTTTTTCATCGATGAAGAGAAGGACATTTCCTGCGGGACGCCAGTATCGCTTGACAGGATCTGGCCTATAAGTTATCCTCAAAGATGATGCCAGGACAGACAGACTGAATATTTAGGAAGGTATAAACCACATCCATCCCAAATAGTCTCTTCGTTTATATTGCAAACTTTGTCCTTAA